TGCCACCGCCACACCCAGTCAGTTTTGGGTTTTGTAAGGTAGTCACCGTTTGCCCAGACTGGCCAGGAACTCACAGTAATCCCCTTGCCTTTAAACTTCCAACTGCTCGGATTACAGGTATGAGCCAGCATGCATGGGTCAGTAAATGTTTGTTAAAGTAATGGAGTCCAAGGAAAACACTTAATGAGCAATATTGTAATCTCAGTTACCCCAGGAGGATGAGGAAGGAGGATATCAACCTCAAGGCCAGCCTGTACCACTTATGAAGACTTTTGCTCAAAAAAAAAAAAAAAAAGAGGGGTGGTAAGGGGAGAATAGTTGGTTGGCATGTGTTCATAAGGCCTTAGGTTCAATGTCTTTTTTTTTTTTTTTGGTTTTTCTAGACAGGGTTTCTCTGTGTCACCCTTGCTGTCCTGGAACTCCCTCAGTAGACCAGGCTGGCCTCAAACTCAAGAGATTCATCTGCCTCTGTCTCCCAAATTCTGGGACTAAAGATATGTGCCCCCACTGCCCAGCTCAATGCCCATTTTTTAAAAGCAAATCCCCTCTAGTGAAAATGGGATAGAAAATCTCTTGAGAATAATATTATTACTGGAGAGTACAAAAAACAAAACCTGGCCTTGGTGACAGACACTATTAACCCCAGCACTCTGGAAGCAGAGGCAGAGGGGTCTCTATGAATTTGAGTCCAACCTGGTCTACATAGAGTGTTCCAGGCCAGCCAGGAAAACACACATAGTGAGGTCTTATCTCCAACAACAAATTAACTAATTTTTTTTTAAATCAGGGGGGTTGAGGAGAAGGCTCAGTCTATAGTGCCTTGGACACATGCCTGAGTACCTGAGTTCAGGTCCCCACATTAAAATCTGGGTGCAGTGACATGCCTGTATCCCCACCCTTAGTGGTGGGGAGCTCATTGGCCAGCCAGTCTAGCTAAATGAATGACCCTGTCAGAGGAAAAAAAAAAAAAAAAAGTGGAGAGCAATGGAGGAAAGCTATCTAAAAATGTCAGCCTCTAGGCTCCACACATCCATACATGTTTCCACCTACACACTCTTAAAACTCACACCCCAGCCGGGCATTGGTGGTGCATGCCTTTAATCCCAGCACTCGGGAGGCAGAGGCAGGAGAATCTCTGAGTTCGAGGCCAGCCTGGTCTACAAGAGCTAGTTCCAGGATAGGCTCCAAAGCTACACAGAGAAACCCTGTCTCGAAAAATCAAAAAAGAAAAAAAGAAAAAAACCTCACATCCCAAAATCATGATGGCATACAAAGAGCAAATTGATTTGGCTAGCACATGTGGAGCTTAGAATTGAGGGACCACGTAAAAAAAAATGTTTTTAAGGACCGGATGAATGCAAAGGGGTACGACGACAGTTGTTGCCTGGAAACCTGTTTGGTAGAATAGAGTGTAAGCATGCTTGAGGGCTCTGGGAGGGCAAACACATCCCTGCCTGAAGCTGGCAACTGTGCACAGCAGAAGAGAAGAATGTTTGTATTGAACAAATACTTGAGAAAGGAAAGAGTCGTTTCTGAGAGAGAGGGGTCTATGGGAAAGGTTTTGGGGTGCAGAGAGGAGAAGGCTGGGTCCTAAGCGGGGCAAGATGGATAAGCACAGATATGGCTTCCCAAAAGCAGAAGGGCTGGTTAGGGCCTCTCCCCCCCCCCGCCACTCCTGCCCCTAGATCCATGGACCCCAACGAAGCACCTGCTCTCCACCACTGCTCTGCCGACTCTTCCCCAGGGATTGAGACCAGAGTCCCCCAGAGCACAGAGCTCATTCCCAGGAGACCTGTCAGTCGCTCTCCGACCTGTGCCCGCTGTCGCAACCATGGTGTCACAGCCCATCTCAAGGGCCACAAGCGCCTCTGCCTCTTCCAGGCTTGCGAGTGCCACAAATGTGTCCTCATTCTGTGAGTGTGGCTGTGGGGGAGGGGCTCCTCCAAAAGGCTGACTTTTGACCCGCAACCCCCCCCCCCCTTAGAGAGCGTCGCAGAGTCATGGCTGCCCAAGTGGCCTTGCGCAGGCAGCAGGAGGCACAGCTGAAAAGGCACCTGGCTCAGGGCCTGATGAAAGGGGCAACCCCTCTGAAAGCTTCCCTCCGTGTCAAGAAGGGAGCCAGAGGACCAGGGGTCCCTTGTGAGTGTCTGTCTGGTTGGGGATGGGACAGGATGTACTAAGTGTAAGGAACAGGGTCCCTGTCCTGAAACTAAGTCAGTGTGTGGCCTTGGGCAAGGTGTTTCCTTTCTCTGGGCCTCACCCCCTCCAACCCTCAGGGCCCCAATCAAGGGGCTGCAGCGATGAGGCAGCAGCCAAGAGCACTGCCTCACTAGGCGGCTCCCAACATCTGTAGCTCCAGTTCCAAAACCCGTCTCCTCGGGCCTCAGCAGGCAGGCAACTTCACACATGTGGTGAACAGGCATAGGTGCAGGCAGAACACTCATGCACAGAAGAATAAAGGTTTATTTTAAAATGTGGGCAAGGGTGCCGTGACAGCTGAAGCTAGCAGTGGGGGATGGGACAGGTGGCTCAGGGTCAAGGGATTTGCGGCACAAACCTGGTGACCTGAGCTCAATCCTCAGACCCTACCTAGAGGTCAAAGGAGAGAGCTGGCTCCCCAGAATTGTCCCGTGGCCTCCACACGCACACCATAGCCCACAAACACACAATAAATTAAAAAAGGAAACTGAGGAGTGGAGCATGGTGAGCAGCCTGTCTGTAACCCCAGCCCTGGAGAGGTAAGGGCAGAGGAGAGGGAGCTGGAAACCAACCCAAGCTACCAAACCAGACCCTGTCTGAGTAGGAGGGCTGGGTCACAGAAGCAAAGCCACAGAACAGGCCTGGGCATGATAACACGTGAAAGTGGAGACAGGAAGATCATGGGTTCAAAACCAGCCTGGGCTCTGTGGGGGAAAGAGAGAAGACTAAAGATGTCAAAGGGAGATGAGAACTTAGCTGAAGACGGGGTAACATAGAGGTCAGGAAAGGGGTGCGCTGGATCTCCCCCTGGGATCTCCTCACAGCTGGAAAGGAGAACATAGCACCCCAGCCTCAGAGTCCCCATGGAGCAGTCCCACTGGTGCTGACACCGCCTGGGAAGGTAAGGAGACCTGAGTCCTGAGGGATGAGTCCTCGCCCAGCTCCTGCCCACACTGTCCTCTGTGTCCTCTGCACTGGGCTGCAGTCTAACCCTGACTTGTGATGTGATCTTCAGTGAGTCTTGAGACCTGTGGGTGAAAGAAGCTGGGACTTAAAGAGCCACCTGTAGTTTCGGGTCCTGCCGTCACCCTGGAGCAGGCCTGCTTCTGCAGGCTCGTACCTTTGCCCTGGGCCCTCTCCCCTTACAGGAGAACTATGGGCCTGGGCTGCTCAGTCGCCCCCAGGAAGCCTTGCCTTTACCCTGGACACCAGTGCCTCCTGGGCCTTGGGGCCCTGGACACTGGCTGCCCCCAGGCCTCTCAATGCCACCTCCAGTAGTGTGCCGCTTGCTATGCCAGGAACCTGCTGTCCCTCTGCATCCCTTCCCTGGTAAGACGCGAATCCTCCTCTCACCTCACAGATACCTGAATGCTAGCTTGCCACTGCACCAGAAAGGGGAGAGGAGAGGGACACAAGTGGGTAGAGGGCGGCCAGCCATGGTCCCTGAGCCCATCCACTCTGCTTCTCTTGCCCTCCTCAGGCTTTGACCCTGGCACCTCTCTCCGGCTGCTCACTCATGGAACCCTCCCAACCTGCCCAGGATCTCGCTCCGTACTTTCTGGAGAGCCCCAAGGACCCCCTAACCTGCCTCACACGTAAGTAGGAACATGACAGAAGAAAGTTTCTGGCCAAGTGTGATGGTGCACACCTGTAATCAATCCCAGTACTTGGAAGGTTGAGCCAGGAATGTCAGGACTTCAGGGTAATCTTCAGCTACACTCTACAAGGTCAGCCTGGGCTACATAAAATTCTTGTCTCAAAAGGAAAAGGGTCTCAGACTAACAGACAGGCAGATCTCAACTGTGCTACCATTTCCTAACTGAGAGGCTTGGACAATATCTGCACCTCTCAGAGCCTGTTTTACCATCAGTGACTTCTAGCTGCTACTCACTCGTCTGAGGCTGTCATGGTAATAACACCTAGCACACGCCTTGACCTTGAACAAGCTTGAGCCTTGACCTGCTCAAGCTTCTGAAACAGGATAGGATAGGGTAGGGTTGTTGGATGACACAGAGGGCCACGGGGGTAAGGCACAGTGATAGACCAGAAGCCATCCAGGTTTCCAGAAGGTGGAATTCCTCAGGGCGGTGGAAGCTGGGCTGGAGAAAGCAGGCTAGTGGGGCAGACAGCGATCCTAGCCCCACTGGGTATTTTATCTGCTTTTGAAAACCTGACACCAACAGTTCCCTGTAACCTTCACAGGGAGGGAAAACTTGGATGAGATTCTCATTTTATAGAAAGCAAATTGCCCAAGCCCAGAGTCCAGTGACCAGCCTGGAACTTCGTTCCCAAGTCAGAACACCCCACCCACTCCCCATGTGTCTGTCCTTTTTCCAGATGTTCGACTCTGATACTCCAGTCCTGTGGCACCCCCGACTCTCTTCTGCTGCAGCCACAGGTCTTGGGAAAGAAGTGGCCTCCAAGGGCCTGGGAGGAGGTTGAATCTGCAGAAGGGACAAGCAGGGGACTGAAGGGAGCTCTTGCAGAGAACATGAAAGTGAGGGTTCCCAGTCTGCCCCTCCCCCCTTCCTCTGCAGGCCCCTGGAGCCTCTTGCCTGGCCTGGACATCTGGCCCCTCAGAGCGCCAGTTGCAGCGAGAGGCAGCTGAGGCCCTTGTGGTTCTGAAAGATTCATCCCAGGCTCCCCGCCTGACCCCGTCTGTCCCCCCAAACCCTGCCTGGATCTCTCTGCTCCACCCCTGTGGTCCACCAGGTAACCCTTCCTGAGAAGAGAGAATGAGATCAGATTGGTTGGTAAATGGAGGCTATCAGAATCAGCAGAGCCTAGCCAAGATGGGACAGACACTATTTAATGTCCTCAGGTTCAGGCCCCTAAGTTGCTCAGCCTGGCCTCAGAGACTACCATTGAACGAGGTTCAGTGAGTCACTCTTTACCAGTTTGGTTCTGAATGACAGATGTCAGTCAGTGCCTTGATAGCAAGGAAAACCAGGTCCTGGGCTGTAGACTTTCCAGGCCAGCATTTAGCAAGACAATGAAGAGCCTGGTCTCTAGACCCTAGCTTCCTGCTCAAGTCTGGGAAGGGAGTGCAGTAACCAGGGTCTGGACTAGGACTGATAACTGCCTTCCAGGAGCTTCTGTTGTGGCTGGGGAACCTGGAGACCCTGGCAAGACTGGAAGAACTGTGAGGAAGGAGAGAGTTCCAGGGAACAGGGGTGAAGGCTGAGAGTGCCCCGTCCAGTGCAGCGTCGGGTCTAGAGGATCTGCGGGAAGTGAGAGAGATTAGGCTGGGGGCTTCTGAGTATAAGATGTGACTTCTGGGTCTGGACCAGCAGCTGTTCAAAGGGGACCTGGGCATGTTCTGAGCAAGACAGAGCATGGTAGCTTTGGTGGCGGGATGAAGAAAGCATTGCTGAAGGCAGGAGTGAGGACACAGGAGGGTGGGATAGGCCACAGCCAGAGTGAGGGGCGGTGGATTGGGTCTGACCTGGACCTGCCCCTTCCTTTCTGCCACAGCTCCCCCGGCGGGAAGAGGGTTCCAGCCTGCCTGCCCGCCTCTCCGGCCGAGTCCAGCCTCCTCAGTCTCTCTGCACATTGGGCGTCTGGGATCTATCTCCCTCCTCAGCTAGAAACGAGAGGTGGAGGCTGCCTCACAGGGACAAAGAGTCAACAAACTGCAGGCGCTGCACATTTGGTATTTTATTTATGCATTTTGCATAGGATTTAATATGATGGAAGCTTCAGCCTTTTTTTTTTTTTTTAAGCTTTCAGTTTCCTTTTGTAGTGTGGGTATTTCCTTGACTGGAGGTGGGTGTCCTCTGGCCCTCTTTAAGTCCCTCGCAGAGGCAGCCGGGCAGTTGAAGAGGACCATATCTAAATACATTTTTGCAAGAGTTTATGTTCTATATATGCCTGTGTGCTCACATCTATCTCTGCATGTGAAAATACAAGAATCTGTTCACTCTGTATGTAGGTTTCTGTAAGCAAGAAATAAACATTTGCCGTTTAAGCCATTGAGATAGAGTTTATTATCACAGCATAACCTAGTCTACCCTGATTGACAGAAAGTACTATTTGACTCACTTCCCAAAATAGAAGTTGTATACTTAGTAACCACCACAGAGCCAGGCATGGTGGCTCACACCTGTAATCCCAGCACTCCTGAGGCTGAGGCAGGATAGCCACAAACAGCAATAAAGTTAAAAAAAAAAAAAAAAAAAAAAAAAATGAGCTTGGAAATTTAAATCTTGGACTTCTAACTATGCCCTCATAAAAGTAACAGAGGGGCTGGAGAGATGGCCCCATTGTTAAGAGCACTGGCTGCTCTTCCAGAGGTCCCCAGTTCAATTCCCGGCAACCACATGGCAGCTCACAACTGTCTGTAACTCCTGTTCCAGGGGATTGAGTAGCCTCACCTAGACATACATGTGGGCACAGCACCATTGTACATAAAATACAAATAAATTATTTTAAAAGAAAGGTACTGGGGGGGACGTGGTTATCGATGTGGTATCACCTGCCCTGTACCAGATATAACCTGTTCTCTGCTATCCAGAGAGCCACAAATTGAGATGCCTAACTGGGGCCAGGTAGACTGTATAGCGGAGTGAAGATGGCCTGATAAAGGCTGGGGAACAGACCCCATGTCTTACCTACAGGCAGCCTTCTTTAGCCTTGTCCATTAGACCCAGCAGAAACCTGGACTCCGCATTGCCACGTCCTCTGGTTTTTCAAGAGAAATCGGTAAACTGGGTTTCTGTGTTCAACATCTTATAATAATTTTCAAACATTGGGACAGCCTTCTTTAAATGTTATATTGGCCAAATAGCATAGCTTCGGTCAACTTTGGCCAGTAGAATACTAATTTGATACTCATCCACCATGACATTTTCCAGATGGGAAGGTGGAAGCCGATCAGGACAGCAAGAACCAAGTTAATTTTATCAAGAACCTTTCTAACTAGGAAAAGTCACTGTCGAGGGTCCAGGCCTGTAGCACAGTGTTTGCCCAGAACAACGAGGCCCATGTTCAATACCAACCATCTCAGACAATGTGTAAACCAGAAAATATAATACTTGATCAAAGACTAGAGAGAATGCTTTCTGTTTGTTGAGTCCCAACAGCAAGCCTGTAATCTATGCTGAAAGAGAGAAAGTGGTTAGCCCAACAGGTCAAGGGAGTTTTCTAGAAAACAATCAGGACTCCTCCTTGTTGCCAGGCCTTGACATTTTACAGAGCACAGAATGAAGGTTTTGAGGCTGCAGGGAACAACATATCAGGCAGAAGCAGGTTTTTACAAGTGTCTCCCCCTTTTTCTACCAAGGTTCTCATTGTGTAGTGTTTTGGGCTGGTGTCCTCATCTGCTTTCTATTGCTGTGATGAGCCCCATGACCAAGGCCACTTGGAGAGGAGAGGGGCTATTTGACTGACATGTCCTAAGGCAGTCACTGGAGGAAGGAAGTCAAGGCAGGAACTGAAGCAGAGGCTACGGAGGGGCGCTGCTCACTGTTCTTCATGATTTGCTCAGTCTGCTTTCTTACACAACTTAGGACCCCCTGCCCAGAGTCGGTACCACACACACCACAGGCTGGGCCCTCCGACTTCAACCATTAATCAAGAGACTGCCCCACAGATCTGCCTGATGGGGGCATTTTCTGAGTTGAGGATCCTTCTTTCCAGATGACTCCAGCTTGTATCAAGTTGACAAGCTAACCAGTACAACTGACCCCTTGTCAACTTCACACACACACACACACACACACACACACACACACACACACACCCCACTAACATTTCTTGCTTATCCCCAAGCTCTCATGTTAGTATTAATATCACAATATAAAACCCAGTCCAATGTTTTGTTTGTTTTTCCAAGCAGGGTTTCTCTGTGTAGCCCTAGCTGTCCTGGAACTCACTCTGTAGACCCGGCTGACCTCGATCTCAGAAGTTCACCTGCCTCTGCCTCCTGAGAACTAAGATTAAAGATGTGTGCCACCGGGCTGGGCGTTGGTGGCGTACGCCTTTGATCCCTGCACTCGGGAGGCAGAGGCAGGAGGATCTCTTTTTGTGTGGTTTTCGAGACAGGGTTTCTCTGTGTGACAGCCCTAGCTGTCCTGGAACTAGCTCTGGAGACCAGGCTGGCCTGGAACTCACAGAGATCCACCTGCCTCTGCCTCCCAAATGCTGGAATTAAAGGCATGCACCACCACCGGCCGGCCTTTTTGCCTTGTTGATGTGCAAGGCTCTTTTGCCTGCATCTGTGTCTGTGCACTGTGTCCATGCTGTTGCTCAAGAAGGTCAGAAGAGGGCAGCCGTTCTTCTGGAATTCTAGTTGGCTGTGAGCAGCTATGTGAGTGCTAGGAATTGAACCTTGGGGTCCTTTGGAAGTGCAGCCAATGTGCTTAAGTGTTGCACTATCTCTCCAGGCACAATTGGTTGGTTTCGAGGTAGGATCTAGCTCTAGCCTGGTTGCCTTCCAACTCATTTTGTAAGCCAGGCTAGCCTCAAACTCATGGCACTCTTCCTACACTAGCTTACTTCGTGTTGGAAGTACCAGGTTCTTATGAGACACCAGGCCCAGCTAATAATAGCGCATATATTTGTTAGTCCTCTGCTGTGGGATCCTCTTGGAGTCCTTGCAGACAGGACACCTGTCCTGCTGTGGGTGGGGGAACTCAGAGCTCAGCAGCATACCTGATAACTGTTCCCCAGGCATGACCTGCATCCCTCTTTTTATTCAAGATGATGAGAGACGGTAAGACCCAACAATGCCCTGTTCTCATAACACGTGTTCTCATAACACGAGGCCTTGAGAAGGTGGGCTCTTCCTGCTCCACAGCAGACTGCAGAATACGGAACCTGCAGCACTAACAGGGGGAGATGTAAGAGAACAGAAGACTACAGCCAGACTCACTCCTTTTGTCCCTTCCTAGTTATAACTTAGATAGACGAGTGCCCTTTAATGGACCTGCCTAAGACTCGCTAGCTCCAGTGACAGATGACTGAGCCCACAGAGTCACGGGTAGGCAGGGAAGCACCGCAAAGGCACCTCAGTTAAGACTCTGCTGCCCCTGGCTGAGCAAGGGTTCCCAGTGTTCCAAGGTCACAGCCAAAAGGTACAAAAGGAAGAGGCATACCAGAATACCATGGTGGCAAGCAAGGAAAGTGCTCGATAATACACCCAAGGGTCTGACTGTGAGCCCAAGGACCCACATGAAGGTAGAAGGTGAGAAAAATTCCAGGATGTTATCCTCTGACTCTGTTGCACACACACACACACACACACACACACACACACACACACACACACACCAATAAACTAATTAAAGAGAAAGAGGCTGGTTTTACTAGTGTAACTCAGCAAGAAGTTAGCTGGGGCATACATCTTTTAAATAAAGAGATGGTGGGAGAGGGAGCAGAGAGGAGGCCTACTCCCAGCTTTTCAGACCACCAGCTAGTTAACTAATCTTTCTAGTCCTATGAACCCCGAGTGGAGCCTGAGGGAGGACAGAAAACCTACAGAGGTCAGCCTTAAGAACAGGGAAGACAAGAATTTAGCTTTTAGCCAGGCATTGGTGGCACACGCCTTTAGGAGGCAGAGGCAGGCGGATCTCTGTGAGTTTGAGGCCAGCCTGGTCTCCAGAGTGAGTTCCAGGATAGCCTTCAAAGCTACAAAGAGAAACCCTGTCTCGAAAAAGAAAAAAAATAAAAAATTAAAAAAAAAAAAGAATTTAGCTTTTGATCCTCTCTCTCCCTTCTGGGAAGAAGCAGCAGGTGAAGC